TTCAAGGTTCCCACAAGGTTCCCACAAGGGACCAAAGGTTCCCACAGATTTGCTCCAAGGTTGCTCCAAGGCCAAGGTTCCCACAGCTCTGCTCAAAGGTTCCCACAAGGTTTCCACAACTTCGCCCCTCAAGGTTCTTCCAAGGTTCCACAAGGGACCAAAGGTCCCCGCAACCTTGCTCCAAGGTTGCCCCAAGGTTCCCACAGCTTTGCTCCCAGGTTCCCACAAGGTTCCCACAACTTTGCTGCAAGGTTCCCAGAAGCTTCCCACAACTTTGTCCACTTTGCTTCAAGGTTCCTACAAGGTTCCCACAACTTTTTTGCAAGGTAAGGTTCCCGCAACTTTGCCCCACAAGGCTCCCAAGGTGCCCACAACATCGTTCCACAACTTTGCCCCACAAGGTTCTTCCAAGGTTCCCACAGCTTTGCTCCAAGGTTCCCACGAGGTTCCCACAACGTGGCCCCGAGGTTCCCACGAGGTTGGCGCAAGTTTCCCACAAGGTTCCCGCAAGGTTCCTAATCGACAGTCAAGGAAACGTCATCATACCTCAAGTCTATTTCATTGTGCTTCCTACTGTTACCTTTTGCCTTGCTAACCGTTTAGTATCCTATCCTCTTAGTTTACCTTGCTAACCTGAAGAAAAAGTGTTGCATTTTGCGCTTAAGCTGTTGGGGATATTCTTTGGGCTTATTTTTTATTTATGTATTTATGTTGTTTCATATTGTGTTCTGCGCACTTCCTCTTCAGTTCCAATCAAATCTATCTTGGATCCTGGCCACTTCCGTCAGCGGACGAGATGTCAGCTGCTGCATTATGGCTTGCGGACTCAGGCTAGCCAGGGATAGCCTTGATGCATAGCCAACTTAAGCATACTTCTGCTAGGATAAACGTCACACGCAAGCGCGCAGACTGCAACATCAAGTTGGACTCATTTGAGACTCCTACTGGCCTCGAAGCGGAGGCTTCCGGTATCTATTGGAACCTTTGCTAAAGACTCAGCCCTGGAACCTTTCGCTTTGGGGGCTCGCTCAAATCCTGGGCCCGTTCACACCTTAGACTGCTCCAAAAACTCGGAATCGGAATCCACACCGTCCAGAAACCCATCCCGGCAAGTGGTCCAGCCCACAGGAGGCAAAGCCAAAGGTGCCATGCGACGGAATTTTTTGTGCGAGAGCGAGAGTCTGGGGACCTCTTTCAAAGCATTGGCCGAGTGCGATGATGGTCAACATGGCACAATATTGCTTTAATGCTGCCATCAAACCGAGTCACAAGCAATTATCACCACAGCCATGAGGATTTGAATTGAAGAGACCAAGGCATCAAGGTGACATATCCACTCCCCATTAAGGCGCTGAAGGGTGAGAGAGGGACAGAAGGTAAGATGCCACAAAACTAAACACGAGTTGTTCGAAAGAAACGGATACAAATATGGCACAGGCATGCACAGGCACACCCAGGGGACGTGTTGAACGCAAGCAAATAATCGTCTGCAAACAACATTCGACAGCACATCGGCCTCCTACGGCAAAATTGACCCTGCTCATCAACTTCCAGCTCACCTGAAAGATCCTGAAAAAGCCTTTTCTTGGATGCAGTGGCGCTGCTTCCTTAGCACTTCAGTCTTTACTGTAGGATCTAATATATTCAACTGGCGACTTCTTTTGACTCACCCTTGGAACCTTGGTAGTTGGAACTTCTCAGGGTGGACAAGGTAGTCCCTAGCCAGCCGAAAGCTTAGAAATGACTGCAAAGGCGATAAGTACAAGATAGTACAAGGATTCTTCGCAAATTCATGCACATTCACACTCTTAGATTGAACCGATTAGGATAAGCAGGAGAATGGGCGAAAATGCAGCATTGTGAGGATGAGTGGATGAGGACGAGCCAGGGCGGGCATGGGGGTTGAGATGGATCTTCACGGCCACAAAAACTCGTTACTAGAACCCGAGCATGCTAAGCTGCTTGTGTGATTGCTTTGGTAATGGCTCCAATGTTGCCTGCAAGTTTTGTGCACTTCCGCTCACAGCCCTAAATGTTTCCAAACCCATGCTCTTCGGAACCTCTTATTATATCTGCATGTACAAACTATTTCTCGGCGCTACGAAAAGTCATACATACAGTACATGGTGGAAAACCTCTAACTCCCAGCTGTCCAGAACCATTTCACCAATTGACACCTCAAATGGCCAACCAAGCTGGGGTAAAATCTCTAGGAGCAAGAACGCTACTAGGAGCCCCTAGTAGCGTTCTTGCTCCCAGTAGCGATGCCAGCAGCCCCTAGTAGCGTTCTTTTCTCACCTGTCACCCCTCTCTCTTGAGGTGCACACGTTGGGCCTGCACCTGATGGCAGCAAACCAGAGCTGGCGATTAAAATACTCTGCAAAAACTGCACACGTTCGTCATCCACTCTGTCATCCAGCCTCCTTCAAAACTGCTCGGCCCACGAGGCCCAAAGCCAGTGCTGCTGCTTGTCCCATTCAGACTGGGCATTCACACATCTACACACAACTGTTCCACTCTTCCGATGTACATCTGCAAAACGATAGCTGGAATAAATTTACAAACGATGCGCAAGATGTCTTTCTTTCGGAACTCACTTAGCACATGACCTGCTCGGACCAGACGGTCTGAAACTTGGACCTGGCCTCAATTGATGAATGCAGTTCGCCGCGAAGTTACATACGTTTAAATCACAGTCCTAAACTTGGAGAAAACCATCTGGCCATCAACAGTTCACAGCAAACATTAACAGCCGTCCTTTTGGCACACTTTGGCGGCCGTCCGTCTGCACCTGCTTTCCCAAACTTACACTACAGGAGCGTTTCTTTTGTCTCGCTCGGTAGTATCGGGGCACTTTGTCGGCAGACTTGTCTGTTGATTCTCTTCCCTTGACGGTAGTTATGAGCGATCCCCTCCTCTCGCTCACCATAACCAGGGGTTTTCCATCCTTTTGTCTTGCTGACCCATACTACAAGAGGAGGCTTTACGTTGCTTTGTCTTGTTTACCTAACTATACTAGAGCGATTCATTTGTCGCGCTCGCGGATTGGAGACACGCATTATGGAAACTTTGGATGTGACACTTTGGCCTTTGGATGAATTTGGTTTGGAGATTTTGTGGGACCTTTTGAAACGAGTCTTACTCAGGCAGTCCGTTCACCTAGGCCTCTTCTAGGCATCAGCGACCTTCGTACGAACTCTTATTCCGAGTGTGTGTGTGTGTGTGTGTGTCAACCCCTGTCTCGAAGGAGATACATCGCGAGCCAAAGTTTTAAACAAACGTTGTTTCAACCCAAACAAACACCGTGCAAAGAAGATTGTTTGTTTTGCGAACAAAAACGAGGGTTTCAAACCTCGCCTCCCCGGCCCCCGCGGGGGTGGGGGGGGAACAAACTAACTCTGGAACGGAAACTTCGTTAGTTTCGGGGGCAAAAAACAAAGGTTTAAAACTTTAGTTTTATGGGCAGAAACTAAGGTAATGTCTGCGACAGACTTTCGACTGCGTAAAATCTGTGTTTCGAAACCCCGAAACTATAGATACAGGAGTTTGTTTCGCGGCAGTGAAACTAAAGTTTTTTGGAGACACTGTTTCTGAATCGTGTGTGCAAGGAAGCACGCCAGCCTCCTTTCTACTCGGCCAGCCTCATAGAAAGCGCAGTCGTATTGGAAAGCTCCATGGGCACCTTTTGAAGCCTAGCTGGAAGGATTTCCTTGTGGGGGGGCTGCGCCCCCCCCCTCCCCCCCCCCCCCCAACCCCCCCCGCGCCACGAAATCTGCACTTTCTCCCCTTAACCCGCACCGGCCACGAAATCAGATTTTAAGGCCCCACCTCCGTCAATGTCTGCAGCGCGCGCCTGGACAGAAGGATTTCCG